TTTTTTTTCCTTGTGTTGCAGGCCGCCTGCCATTGCGACTTCATTGAGACAGACAGGCTGTTACTGGTGTCAAAGCATGTAATCTATGGTCAAATATTCACTATTAAACCTTTCCCCTCACTTTTCTTGCTGAGAGTACCAATGTGTGGAGATTTTCTGGAGTCCCAGGGGTGATTAGCAGCCAGCACAGCCTTACTGTGCAGGTATAATTTCAAGATTTAGCTGCTTTTGCATTGAAGTGAGCAACATCAGTGCTGGTGTATGAAACACAACCTTGTACAGAGAAGGAATCAAGCTCAGTCGGGACGCAGCATGGCTCAGACAAGCTATCGCCATGCAGAGGCTCTCTTGCTTTCTGGGGTGTGTAAATATCTTTCCTACCCTTTGCACAAGGCTCTAGGGATCTTCTATTGGATAATAAGTTTAAGTCCAAATAACAAACCAGTTTGGATGATTGATGGGGGATGTTGTGCACACACCCAGAATATGTCATTTCCAATCAAAAGGAAAGCAATTGTTTCCATATGTTGGCACATTTGTGATCTTGGTGTTGAGCCAGTTGTCTGGCTGCGATCAGGCAGCAGCATCTAACAGTGATGGAAGATTATACCTTGGAAGTGGGGTGCTAACTTTAGGCTGTATTCCTTAAAAGGATATAAACTCTGAACACTTATCCAGGATGTAATTTATGGTTCCAGTATGTTTTGACTTTACATAGATGAAAAAATAGTCCTTTTGGGTATGCATATATGCATAAAAATTCCTTCCTGCTCAGCGCCCCCCTGCCAAAGGAATCCAATAAAACAATAGCTGGTGCCGGTTTATGCGCTAACTTGGCTGCACGGGCTATTGCCTGCTGAGGCTTATAAGGATTCCCCCTCTTTTTAACCCAACTCCTTAGAGGTATTTTAACAGCTAGATCTAGTTTTGTTAAGTTGCTCAGCTGGAGTGCAGGCTCTTTGAACAGATTTTTAGAGATGCCCTGCACCTACCAAAGCCATCTGTTTTGTGGGGTTTTCTTTTTGTAAAGTGTCAAAGTAGTTGCATATTGCTTCACAAATAGATTAATATAACTTTCAAATTTCCATACCAAGGCCCTACTGACTTGTGCTGCATCAAGCACAGTTATATACCCCAGGGAGGTGATCAGCTAAAGGCTGCTGGAAGAAGAGGGTATTTCTAACATATGAAGAAGCCACCACTTTAAAATATTCGGCAAGTTCCCCAGTTATCTACAATTCCCTGAACCACCAATACTGGGGCAAAGCTGCCTGATCATAGAATTGTTTAGGTTGGAAAAGACCTTTAAGATCACCCAGTCCAACCATTAACCTAGTACTGCCAAGTCCACCACTAAACCATATCCCTAAGCACCCACACCTACTTATCTTTTAAATACCTCCAAGGATGGGGACTCCACCACCTCTCTGGGCAGCCTGTTCCAGTGTTTGTCAACCCTTTCGGTGAAGAAGCTTTTCCTAGTATCCAACCTAAACCTCCTCTGGTGCAGCTTGAGCCCATTTCCTCTTGTCCTATCGCTTGTTACTTGGGAGAAGAGACCAACACTCACCTCACTACAACCTCCTTTCAGGTAGTTGTAGAGAGAGATAAGGTCTCCCCTTGGCCTCCTCTTCTCCAGGCTGAACAACCCCAGTTCCCTCAGTTGCTCCTCACAAGACTTTTGCTCTAGACTCTTCACGAGCTTATTATGGTCCAGCCAACGAAGGATCGCTGCATCCTTTCAGAAGCATCAGCAGCAGCAATACAAAACCTGCAGTGGATGTTGCATGTGTATTTTGTGACCCCATTTGAAAACCACACAGGCAGCTTGTTAGAGACACACAGACTTCTTTCTGTGTCGCAGCCAGGCCAGTCCTTTGGGATAATCTCAGTATGGAGTTTTAAAAAATGCATTCTTTCACTCCCTAAGTTATGAGCAACTGTCAACCTTTTAATTCTGCAGCCAAAAAACCTTTGCAACCGTGAGGCACAGTGGGCAGAATCATTCAAATCACTGCAGCAATGCTGATTCCTCTAGCTGAGAATAATGAATGTATCAAATCACTCTCCAACATACATTAAATTTAGGGAAATTCCATTTTAACTCTAGAAATGTTTGCAGTAATATTATTGGAGTGTCATGGGGATGTGTATTGACCACCCTTATGATCCTCATCATGCAAGACTTGTACGTGTATGGAGTGAAATGTCAGAAAGCTGAAAGACAAGTATTCACGTTTCTTCCTAAGATGACTTGCAGTGTTGTGAAAGGAAAGCAGAGTGCCAGATTTGTTGTTCTTTTCAGGCATGTGCATGGTTTTTTTAGCTATTTATTGGAAATATTAACTTATTAAGGCTCTCTACTGGAATATTTACATAATATATTATGAATAGATTGCTGATGCCTAAAATGCTACTGAGAGAAATCAACTAATGTCTTTTTATGGAAGATTAATTTGAGAAACTAATGTGCTGAAATGTATTGGGATAGGTAATGTATTCAAAAGCTAACAAAACTTATTTGGAGTAATTTAAGAAAATAGTTTTGATCTGTGCAGGTGTTCAGACACCAAGGAAAAAATCCTTGCTGCTTTTATGTGAACCACATGCACGCTCCAAATTTCAGCAATGGCATTATTCACATGCGGTTTTGAGCAATTCAGTTTCTACCTTGTCTCTAAAGAATGGCATTTTCCATGCAGCAAAAACAGAGTCTGATAGCAATTTTGTACACACAGCTACTGCCGTGGTTGATGTGAATGTGCTTGTTACCTCTGTATTTCAATATGAAAATTGGGAACTAGAATTCCCATCTAATTTTATTTTTCGCTTATAAGGTCTTCCTCAATTGTTTATCTAGATTCAGTCATTAATCACTGTCATCAGGAATCAGATAGGCAATTTATGGTTCTACCAAAGTAAAGGCTTCCTTCCCTATACAGATAAAGGAGTATGAATTCTAAATGTGTACGGCTCCTGCACAGGAAGTTGTCACTAGCTCCAGGCATGCTCCAAGCTTGTAGGGCTCCATGAACAGCTACAAATCTAGATGCATGTGCACTTCTGTAGGAACTTCAAAAGTTATATTTGCACTTCCAGACTGTAACTAAGTATTATTATTCCCCTTCTGTGGCTAGTGAAACCCAGGTGTGAGCTTTTCCGTATCATTGCCCAGGATTGCTCCAGAATTGCCGAGTAGAAGACGAGCGGCCCAAAACTGCTGGCACTGTACTTGAACGTAGATCTGCTCTATCTTCGGAATCATGGTAGTACTAATTAACCACTTCCAGCATATTAATGGTCTTCAGTATATTTCTCAATCCTAGCCATGTGCTAATCTAGCAAGCTGCTCCATGTTAATTCCAGCCTCGCTGAGGTGACCAGTTTGCAAAAAGACTGGGGGATTCATTTCACTTTGTGGTCTGCATAGGCGTTCCCTCTTAGCCCGCTATGCCTGGCAGCCAAGCACTTAAGCGCAGGCTTGTCAGTTATGTTGACCTTGAAGAACTCGTACTGTTGGCCCCTGTTTCCCTATCTTCTCGGTAGCGTATCTTGTTTCCTCTGCTATTACTCTAACAAAGAACTTTAGGTTATCAGACTTAAAGACTTACATACCTGATCTGGCCTTTGCTGCTATATGGGGCCCCTGGACCACTATTTCTGTATGACGGTGCATGTTACCAAAATAAATGTCCTTAAATTAGTCGGTTCAGTTACTAGGAGCAGTCTGGCCATAGCAGCAGAGAGCTTGATATAGGCTAATAATGATTCTTTGATGTGGTTTTTTGGAGAAAACTTGCCGTTTTGAAGTTAATTATCTAGTTACCTAGTTAATAGAAGATACCTCTCAACATATTAATGGAATATCATTGTTGTCATACATATTTTTCAACAAGAATGGGGTCTTTCAGCAGTTACACGTCTTGGTCCAGCAACAGCATAGCAATAAATCAGCATTTGTTCATGTGCTGCTAGTTGCATCCTAGGGATGCCAACAGTAAATTTACTCTATTCCAGCTCTGCTCCCACATTCAGGGTTTATTTGAGGGTTTTGTGTCCTAGTTACTCTAACAACTTAGCTGTGCTACCACTGTGCAAATAGAAGTACGGTGGCGTACGTTTGAACAGTGATTAGTGAGACAGCCTGACCCACTTGAAGTGCTTTAAGCAGCTGTGCTTTTCTGAAAGTTTTGAGCGCTTGTCCACTAGTGCATCTGGTCTTATGCCATGTCTCAAGCTGAAAATTCAAAATTGCTGGTCTTTTTTGAGAATTTGATACAGAGTATTTAAATTGTGCTTGACATTTGTTTTCTTCCTTTTCTTCCGGGATGCATCATGGTTCAGTGTAATGGATCATTCTGTGTTTCATTAAATATTAAGAGTGAAAATTATTCATGTTTATTTAGAGGACAGTACTGTTGTGTTAGTGGATGGGAAATTGCCTGGAAGACTGCTGATAAAGGTGTAGTGGCAACTGGTACACAGTCATTGATGGTGCAGCTTCTGAAGTGTCCTGCAGAGGGGACGGGTAATGTGAAGAGGTAAAATGTGCATGGGAAGACAAAAAGAAAGATACTGTAAGAAATATTCATGTACCTGCTAAGTGATCTGACAGGCTTTTTCTGTCCTGCGCTTATCACACTGAAACTCTTTTCCAAAATCTGCCAGGCTGGCCTTTGTCCTGACCCCAGTAAAACCACTGCTCTGAAGCCACTTCAAGCAATGCTGCCCCTCAACAAAACCTTGCATTGCCATGACACGTGCAAGCGCAGCTGAGTATCCAACTCGTGGTGCCCACTTCCCCTTGCGGTAAGTGGTGTGGTTTCACTTGTCTGGCAAGGCAACTTGAGCAGTTCCAGAAAAGCTGCTATCGCTTATCTTTGGTGCAGCGTGTAGCATGTTTGTGTGGGCTACCTCGGATCATGTAGTACAAGTGCTCCCTAACAGTATTATATTTTTCAGTTCCACTTGCAACTCCTAGAACATCCAAAGGTCTTCCAGAGATGTTACAGGAACGGACCTCTTTTAGCCATCAGTACAATGCCAGAGGTTCTGCTAATGAACCCATCCGAGGAAAGGTAAGACAATGTGCATCCTGTATGATTAACAGCATCCAGGAAGGTGGAGGAGTATGTTTATCCCAGAACTTCCAACTATCTGTTTAATATGAAGATTTGCTGTCAGATGATTTAGAATTGCTAGCAGTTAATATTAATGACATGCTCTTTTGTATTACTTGTACGTGCTCCATTTTGTGTTTGTGTGTGTTGTAGCACCCAGGCTTCCTGTAGTTTTGATAAACGATAACCTAATCATAAATCACATGATTTGGATTTCTAAAGAGTCTGTTTATGCCGTGATTTCACTGAACCCAACTGTCTTTGTGCATGAAAAAGCTGGAATGAGTAAGATTAGAACACGGGCTAATGCAAAAGGGTCTGTTTTGATACAGACCCGTAACTTTTGCCAGGCCTTGGCTCTTAAGATTGTGTATGGTTATGCATTTCTTATAAATCAGTAACTTAGTATAAATAGGGGACTGATCCACAGACTCTGATAGGCTTCAAAAAGATCCAAAGTACAGGATTCGGTTGTGAAAAATATTTTGAGAAATGCAGGGTATGTTTCTACCTTTGTTTATTTAAGGAAAAAAAAGAAAAATCTTGGGTGACCCTGATGAGCAAAATCATTCGGGATGCAGTCATAAATCTCCTGGCCTACAAAAGCAGCAGTTCAGAATTGTATCCATAGCAACCCATGTAGCAAGAAATGAAATCTGATATGAATAGTCTCGTACAGAAGAACCGTATGCAAGTCACACACTCTCTGAGGCAGAGTGGTTGTGAAACAGAGAAAATAAGATGCATTTTCTTTTACTTGTTGCTTCTTTCCAAGTATTCCTGCCGTGCCCCATTTCGTGAATAAAATGGGCTGACAAACCAGCCATTATTCCATTGCCTTCAGCTATGCGGACCTAGGCCAATGGCCAGTAGAGAGGCCGAGAAACAAGTGTAAGCTTTGCCAGCACTTGAGCTAATAAATGAACTCAGCTCACAGCTGCATCTACGAGCTGCTTATGTTCCCCTGGTTAATGTCAACCTTGTTTCCCCTTCCAGCGACATGGAGCTTTTGTGTGTGCAGAGATAAAACCAGCAAGTGGTCGATAGTTCCTAAGGGAACAGAAATATTCCTGAGTGCTAGAGGGTCATGTTCACTGGAACAGCCAAAACCAGAGAAAGGAAACTCAGTGAAAAGCCGAATGACCTCACCCAGTCTCTTCCTGCAGAATTCCTAGGAGACAGTAGGCTCTGAAAATCACTTATCAAAACCAGACGTCAGAGAAATAGCCAAGGCATACCCCAGAATTCCTGTGAGAGGACACAAAAGTTCAGGCATTTCTCAGACAACTGAAGTGGATGTTGGCTGCCCTGCTGGGGAGGAGCCCTTTACATCCTACAATGAAACGGCCTTCCATAGAGGAGTGGGGGGATTACCTACTGTACATAAAAACATGCAGATGCCGATAGCACCATCAGCAACTGAAACAAAAAGAGCCTGGAGTCACTGTTAGGCCCGTGCATTTGCTTATTCTAATATCAATAACACCAAACACAAGCTGACACCAGTGAATTGTTGGAAGGAACACAATAGTCCTTTGACGGACTAACAGCTGCACCATGCTTTGATGTCTCTAGAAAACTGTATGTTCATCAGAACCTCTTTTTAATGGTGAAATTTCACTGCCTTCCCTGGAGCATCAGCCTCTTGATTCTTTCTATACGTTCTGTAAGGTGGTTTTTAAGTTAATTAACACTTTCAGAGCTGGCTAAAGTCACTGATTCATGAAAAGTACTTAATTTTTCAAACCACTTATACTTTTCCTTTTTTTTTTTTTGCTGATTGCTAGGTGTTTTACGTAAATGTTTTTTATTTACACCATCTCTTTGGATGCTGTAGTGTGAAACGTAATTTTGCATGCCATGTGGTGTCAGCTTGTGATAAATGGAAGCCATTGTTGCTTCCGTAGAAAACAATGACAGCCAAGAGAGACAATTTGCTGCAGTCCACAGGAATGCAAAAATAGTATGTCACTGCTCTCTACAGCTAATGAAGACAAACCCTTGGAGCAAGCCCTTTTGAGGGAGAAGAGAATGCTTTTGCGTAAGATTTAAGTCTATAATTTTTTTTTTTCATATTAGAGCACATTAAACAAGAAAACAGCTAATTTACTCTAGGTTTTCCCTCCATACTAAAGAAAACAATTGTTCAAATGCTGAAGGATGAGTTTTATTAAGAATATTTCTCCAGTATTTTTCCCCTGGACTTTTCACTGGTATTCCCAACAGATTTTTTTTTTCCCCCCCTGTGTTCTTGTGTCAGAGAGACTCAACATTTGAACTCAAATATTTAACTTGCAGCTTTTCATAAAACAGACAAGAGCAAGTTATTACCTGCAGTACTCAAACTGGCTCCTCTTACATGCTGGAGGAGTTTATGTATGCACTTTGCTGCAGTGAAAGTAATGAAGAATCAACTGTCAACTTTCTACTTCAAGGCAGACATACTTGTCCTAACTATATATAATCCTACTAGACTTACATGTTTTGTGAATTTTTCTCTCAAAGACTGGTAGCAACATGGGAAAATAATTCTTGAAAATTTTGTGGAAAATTATTTGAGATAGTGTTTACTTAGTGCTTTAGATCGTGTGTTATAACCGAAATGAACACACATGCTGTGATAATTCTTTGTTTTTCTTCAGTTAACAGAAAAATGTATGAAACTGCTCTAATTTAGGATTCCATTGTACAAAGTCAGCTTCCATTGGTATCAAAAACTGCACTAGTTTACTAGCTCCACCTCTTCTGTTTCTACCATTGTTGCCATATTAATAATAAATTGGCGTTTGTAGGTCCTTCCAAAATGATCAGATCTGTATCTGTTGTAATCTAGTGGGGATTTTCCTGATCCTGTGCATTACAACTTTTCATTTCTCGTAATGAGCTGTAAGTTTTTAAAGTAACTTGACAAAGTATGGGGAGTGGGAGTAGAAGAGACGGTAACGTTGATAAGAACTAAAACACTGTACAAACACCAACACAGATATTAGGCATAAGGAGCCAATCCCGAAATGAATTACAGCCTTTTGGGACATCTAGTACACTCTGAATAAACCCACAATGTCAGACCTTGGAGGTCAGCACAGTAAAATATGAATACCTCAGTAAAGCTATCAGATAACATCTATAATTTCAGTTCTTCCTGCAGTCAGAGAGAACACAGTTAGGATATTCCAGGCACTCAGTTAAAACAACTTAATAGCTAAAGGGGAAAACAGCTCTGCATCCCTGGCACTCTTGCATACTTCCTCATTTTTTCACATGAAGTAGCAGAAGCCCAGCGTTATTTTTAATGGGATATTTATATAATGTGCACGCAGATCCCAAAACCGTGTTAATTTACTGTGAAGTTTTGCAAAGTACAATTTTAGACAAGATGTCTTAAAAGAACAAAATGCCAAAATTGAAATCAAATGGAAGACCAAGTGAACATGGTAGGATGTTGCTGCTGCATCTGATGCCTCTTCAGTCTCATGAATGCCCTGAGCACCTTCACTAACCAGCTTTAATTTTATCACTTCAGAAGCACCTGAACCTTGATCCTGGACTGTCTTATTTGTAGTCCTGTGCAAATAGCACATAGTGCACATCAACTGTGTTTTCCAAAATAATACTATAGGAATATTTTTCTCTCCCATCTGGAGTTTCTTGGAGCCTCTGTCAATGCTAGCTCACCTTCCTGAAGAAATTAATTCTGTGTTCTCCAAGTGGAGCAAATATCATTAGAAGCACAGGTATTATTTTAAATAATGAAGAAATGTCTGTTACAGGATAAGAGGGCATGCACATGAGTAATTAAATCAGAAGATTTATTGCCACAGGACAACCATTAGGCATGTATATTATTCAGTTGTACTAAGGCAGTATGATGATGCTCATTGAAGTCAAAGGAAAAGTCAGTGTCACTTGAAAAAAGTTGAACTATTAACCCATGTCATTAGAGGAGGAGTCTGAGGGAACTTGCATTCTCGAATTTAAAAATGATCTAAAGATTCAGCAGGTGTCATGGACAAACTCAGAGTTAAATTTCTTTCATTAAGATGAGAATAATATTAATAACTGCTGTTATTACTGTCCATATTCCAGTAGAAATGGTCAGACTGCCTAAACGCTTACTGGTGTGACTGATTACTACTTGTGAGTAACATTGCTACTCATGGCTTACATGAGTAAATGTTTCCAGGCTCTGATTCATATTTCCTAAAAGCGTTACATATTGTGTAGTTTATTTCATACACAATTTAATTCATCTGTTAATCAGACTATAAATACACAATCCCATGCCTATCCTGCCCTGTACCACACCGGTATACCTGTACTTTAATCTTTTTGATGACTTCTCCTCTATTTCAGATATACTTTTTGAAGATATTTCATTTGTTCTGAACTTCTCTGGTGAATTCATAGTAACTGTACTGACTGTTTGATTGTGTCCCTCTGCTGTGCGCTCTGGAAGATCTATTATCCAGGTATATTTATCTTCTCTGTTTTCTAAGCTTGTTACTTTTAACAGATTTGTTGTTTCATTGGTGACACTTTTTATTTTCATTGGGCATTAGTGAAAGCATTTCATTGGTCATGGTACATATGGAGAAATCACAGTTCCATTTAATTTGAACTTGTTACAAAATGCATTTCTATATTCTGAAGGTAGCTTTCTCTTCTATCGGTGACATCATCAAATGATATAACATACAGAACCTTCCTGTCATAGAAGAAAAAAAATCTGGGATAAATCTTCCTCATCCTTTCTTGTTCCATTTGTCTCTTCAGATATACACAACTTAGGCTAAACCCCTGTATTCTGTGGTGCCCAGGACCTCTAGTCATCATTTGGGGCTCCATTGTGCCAAGTGCAGTATGGTGGAACAGGGGAGTTCACTGCTCTAAGGTGTTCACATTGCTAGGTTTGACAGAAGGCTACATAGACGTTGGCCATAAACCAAGGTATTTGCTCCTTGCGCATCCCCAGTGAGTTGTTCCGTTCCTCAGGCCTCAGAAGCAGTCTTCATGGGTTGTTCCCAGGTGGCAAATTTCAGTCCAGAAGGAAGCTGCAAGGGAGGAATTTTGTGAGAGAGCTCTGGCAGAAGGCTCCTAAGCCTTCCCTCACAGATTTTGGCATGAGCATGGGCTATTATTAGGAAATAAATGCAGTGTGGAAGGGATGGGTCTTGTTTTATCTCTTTTTGTTCTTTTTTTAAGCCAGAGATTTTGTGAGCCAGAGACTAAAAAGAATATGGTAAAATCTTGGAAACGTGCTGACATTTGAGGACTTTTCGTAGTGGATACTAAAACCAGAAGTTCCCAGTATGGCTGTCCAGAATGCACACTTGAGTCTTCAGAGTGTTTACTGACTTTTTGTGACATTTGGATGTATTGTTAGGAGCTCAGTCATGAGGAATTTCTTTAGAAGCTGTGCTACCCGGTGTGTCTGGGTCATTGGTCTGTGAGCTAAAAAATCCTTCGAGGCAACAATGAGAGGATAAAAGCAGTTATGTTCTCACAGGTCACCAACCCAACCCACCAATCAGCCATGCTGGCGTGGTGAGGAGTTGCAGATTATCCCCCCATGCCAAAAAAGAAGGCTTCTACCATGGGATGAGAGAATTAATTCACGGGAGAGGTTAGACAGTGTCCCCACTGCTGTTTTCCCTGGGGTGTCATGTGGAGTCTGGGCTTGTCTTGTGCTGCTTTCATGAGACAAAATGAAGGAAGAAGTGAGCAAGTGTCAGCCTGGCGTTCAGGTTTCACTCTGCTGCAGTCTAGCCTTTCATTTGCTAGGTCTTTAATGTTACCTTTGTGTCTGAATGTTTGTGTGTCTGCTTAGGTCTGGAGAATTGTAGCTATCTAAATCAGGTGTAACTGTTGAGCAGTGTTACAAAAATGCTGGGATAAAGGAGAATCGGTGGCTGCACTTGTTGCTTCCACCCTCCTCTCCTGAGCATGTTCTGCAGTGAAAGTTAGTGTGGAGAGAAGCCTAAAATCCAGTTGGTCCAGCTATGATCTGAATTGCTCAACCTTTACAATCTAGACAGACTGCTGATATTTGCTGGTGATGTGGATCCTATTAGCAGAGTAACTGTACAGAATGTGTAGCACCTCATTTTTCAGCCCCTGAGAGAATATTTCACTGCAAGAGATGCACCAGCAGCCTCCATAATCCCGCTATAGAAGCGTTCTTGCACCAATACAGACTGCCAGCACTAGGAAACTCTCTGTCCTGGTCGAGGTGATGGAAAGCAGTGGAATCTTGCAGTGAACTCAGCCCATGATTGGCACAGCCCAGCGTAAAATGGCGAAGCTTATGGCTGAGGCTTCTTGCGGTTCCTGGCTGCGTTGTTTGCTCCGTACCACACTCTTCCTTCCCAGGCAGTGAGAAGCTCTTGTCAATGAGGTGTCAATGTTTTTCTCCGCAGTACTTTTGAATATATAAATATAAGAGGAGCTTCAG